CTTGCAACCACTTTCCTGCCTTGGGCCTCAGCGGGCTGCTCACAGGGACTGCCTGCATCAGGCACTTGTGTCCCTAGCGGCCCCCAATGCTGCTGGGCTGCCCCTTACTCTGCTCCATCCCCACAGCTGCCTGCAGCACGCGGCACCTCCGCCTCACTCCTGAGCTGAGCCCAGGGCAGAACTGTCCCTGCTTGGGGTGATTGTATCACACACACTGCATTTGGGCCTCCTGGCTCCCTTTCCTCCCCCAGCCGGTCCCATCTTATGAGCCTTTTGCAGACAAAGTTGGATTATAACAACTTTGCCGGCCTCAAAAGTGAAAATTCCACAAATATCCTGAGTTTCTAGGTGCCGGGAGGCAATCAGCAGAAGCGGAGCTCTGTGTCTCAGCAGAGTGGCGACGCTCTGTGTCCGCATTCTCTCGTTTTCTACTAATGTGCCCAGTGTAGCATTTTAACTTAGAAAGTGAGCTGTGGGCGGAAGAGGTGAGGTGAGACAGCGGCGCGGCTGCAGAATGTCATCGCTAGAAAACTGCTGATCGCACTCATCTATAGCGCAGTCGAGAGATAATTTTAGAGTCGAGACAGGAAGTTAATACGAGGCTGACGAAAACAGTGGGCACCGCTCACCATTTTCAGAAGCACACTAAGCACTTTCTTCGCTTTCGTACTGCCATGCTGTAAACAATCATCAGGTACTAGCAACCACGGGGCAGGTTTTCAGGACACTTCAGTACCCACGGTTCCGAGGGAACTGTGCTCCTACTGAGCCACTTGTCCCAAAGGCCAGATTTTCAGCACCTTGGGGGCTCACACAGGTGCCTGGGCAAGGACGTTTCAGAAGAGCTGGCCGCAGGGGCACAGGCTGCGCGCTTGGGAATCTGGCCCTGCAGACGTCGAAACGCACATCTCAAAGTGAAAACAAAAGTTCCCAGCATAACAACGCTGTTTTAATAAACACTAGCAGCAGGGAAATGATCTTTTAATAATGCTTTAAAAATTAGAAAGCCTGACAGAAACAGAGAACAGGAAGTATTTTATCATCAACTCTTTGAAAAAGCGTATTTTTCAATCCAGTAAAAGAATTACATCAACTTTCCTTCTTCCATCTTATTTAAAAGTTCCTGGCGCAACTAGCCTGCCTTTGCTTTGTCAAGTATCAGTAATTGTCCAAATACAATTCAAAGAAAAACTCTTCTACGTTCCTCATTCTTGACATTCATATTCATCAGATAACAGAAATCATAGAGCACGCTAGTGCCCACCTGCAAAAGAGAAGTTCTTCAACAAGCTTTCCTCGTCTTGGTGTGCCTATTCAAAAGAAATATGACTAAAGAAACATCTAACCATTATCATGTAAGGAAGTACTTAAAATCTTCTGCACTCTTGCCTCCGAGTTGGAGAACTCATTCAGCTTTCTTGGCAGATGAAAGCACAGGATTTTGAACCACAGCATACATATCTGGTTGCTTTGCAAGCTTCTTCATCTTCTCCAGATTAGTTCATACCTCAAATGCTACCGCTTATCTCTAGTGACTTCAGAGGACTGTTACTCCTGTGCGAAAGGCATATATGTCCCCATGGTATCATTAAATGCATATAAACAAAGTGAAAAGCCGCCACAAACAAAAATGAGAAAACGGCAATCGCCTGAAGTGCTACAGGGTGAAAATCCAGTGCAACGCAGGGTTCACTAATGGTTTCCCAAAACACACTGCTGTGCATAACAAAGCCTACCGCGTGCTGTTTGCAGCAGCAGTGGAGGGATGGAAAAAGTGGAATATTCCCACATCTGCTCATCCCCCTTTACCCAGGCGCCTGGCTGCAGTGTCTGGTACTGGGTCTTAGTGTTGGGATACTCTAATGGGATGTGGACATGGCTGTGCAAAATGCATTCATACTTATCATGTGAGCTCTGTGGAGTCCCCTATGCCAGAATGTTATAGAAAACTAGTATTTCTGGGCCAGGCGTGTCTGGAGAGCAGTCTCAACAGCCTAAAGCCTGCAGACTCCAGGACAAAACTGATATGTAATTGCTCAGCAATGTGTAATAATGAAGCAATACTGAAAAAAAAAAGAAAAAAAAAAAGACATTGCAGGCAGGTATGTAAAATACAGGCAAAGAGAGGATTTGGGGATAGCTGAAATTCAGCAGAATTGGCCCAGTAATTCAAAATTTCAATTAAAAGTGGATTATGAGTACTTAGGTTTACAGTCTGTCGCGAACCGAAGGCTTAAGCTAGCCCCGTTTCCAGACCTAGTCTCCCTTCTTCTGAAAACCTCTACCTCGTTTTTGCTTTATTTTTTTTTTAAACTTTTCATTTTTAGAGCAGTCAAGCTTGTCACTTCTACAGCGATTTCTTTTCGTTCTCATTTTCTTTGTGGGGCAGCAGCTCGTCTTCCCCTGGCGAGCCCCCGTTTCGCCCACGGCCGCCCTCAGGCGCGAGGAGAGCAGGTCCCGCCGCCTGTCCCCGTCCCGGGCCGCCCATCACGGAGCCGCCGCGGGTGCCATGAGCGAGGCCACGAGTCCCTGCATCCACAGGCCGCTCTCCCCTAGGGAATGAGGAGAAATAGGAGCTACAGGTGAGGAACAGCGGCCGGCAGCTCAGGCACCGGCAGCGCCCGCCCCAGGAGCAGCCCCGGCAGCGCCCGGGCATCTGCGGAGTTGTGGTAGTCATTGAAACGGCAGCATCCTGACTGCTTCTAACGCACAGAATCAGAAAGAAACGTCTGTGTACAGTCACATCTTACCCGTGGGGATTAGTCTGATGTTTGCCTGTTAAAAACCCGTGCCCTCTGTATTTGTGGGATTTGTTTGAACGAGAGAGAGAGAGAGAGACTGCCATTTCAACCAATGCACCGCTCATCCCATTTATATTTTTTTTATATATTGGTAGTGGGCTCCATTTTTTTTTCCTTAATCAGCTAAGCTTTGGTTTTCTCTAAGGTCCTGCAAAGCTGCAAGAATCCCTTTGACTGAAATTAAATAAAACAGAGCATCCTAAAAATGTTTCCTAGGAATACAGCATCTCAAAGGGCTGAATTCAGGCGCTGCAAGTGGTCTGTCAATATGCAGTCAGGGTGATCACATCCATCCTTAAAAGGTGCAATGGAAACAACTGCCAGCCAAACACAGGGAAAATAAATAGTTACTAATATTATTAATTTTTCATGACTACAGAAGCATATTTACTCTTAACTACTGTTTTGAGAGCGCTTTCAAAGAAAGTAGGATTTCTCTTTTCAATTACCTATACACATACATAGGATGTGTAAAGAGAATGTGAGTGGAGAACCAAGCGGGAATGGAAGGCAGGCATATTTGCTACTAAATCCTAGCTCTCCTT